CGGAGTAGGGTGGGGGAGGGGCAACGATCGGCCAGCCATGGAGCTGAGCGTGGCGGCGGCGGCGGCAAAGCCGCAGCGACAAGGTAACCATCCCACCCCTGCAATAGTCCTCAGCTGCAGCCCCTCCTCCGGGCCCCCAGGGTGCGCTGGTAGACTGCGCGGCCACCTGCCACACCCCGGGCGTGGTGCGTTAGGTAGATGCCCGCCCTTGGCCCAGGCCAGGGAGAGCCAGACTCTCCACCCTGTAACCGCTCTGCCTTTTTCCAGATTACCTCTGACTGCGCCACACCATGCCCCTCAGCCTCTTCCGGCGCCTTCTCCTTGCCGCTCTGCTGCTGGTGATCGTCTGGACCCTCTTTGGGCCCTCGGGTTTGGGGGAGGAGCTGCTGAGCCTCTCACTAGCCTCCCTGCTCCCAGCCCCCGCCTCACCAGGGCCGCCCTTGGCTCTGCCCCGCCTCTTGATCCCCAACCAGGAGGCCTGCAGGGGTCCCGGCGCACCTCCTTTCCTGCTAATCCTGGTGTGCACGGCCCTAGAGAACGTGAACCAGAGAAACGCCATTCGCGCCTCGTGGGGCAGGCTGCGCCAAACGCGGGGACTCAGGGTGCAGACACTTTTTCTGCTGGGAGAGCCGAGTGAACAGCACCCCGGTTCGAGCTCCCACGGGAACGACCTGGCGAGGGAGTCAGCGGCCCACGGGGACATCTTGCAAGCGGCCTTCCAGGACTCCTATCGCAACCTCACCCTCAAGACCCTCAGCGGGCTGAACTGGGCTGACAAACACTGCCCCATGGCCCGCTACGTTTTCAAGACGGACGACGATGTGTATGTCAACGTCCCAGAACTGGTATCAGAGCTGGTCCTGCGAGGGGGCCATTGGGAACAATGGGAGAGGGGCAGGGAGCCCCAGAAAGAGGCTGCGGTTGATGAGGCACGGGAAGACGGCAGCCAGGCAGTCCCCCTTCTGTACCTGGGCCGCGTGCACTGGCGGGTGAACCCCTCTCGGACAGCAGGGGGCCGGCACCACGTGTCAGAGGAGCAGTGGCCTCAAACCTGGGGTCCCTTTCCACCCTATGCCTCTGGCACGGGGTATGTGCTGTCATTGTCTGCTGTGCAACTCATTCTGAAAGTGGCCAGCCGGGCACCCCCTCTGCCATTGGAGGATGTCTTTGTGGGGGTGAGTGCCCGCCGAGGAGGCCTTGCCCCAACCCACTGTGTCAAGCTAGCTGGCGCCACCCACTATCCCCTGGACCGGTGCTGCTATGGGAAGTTCCTTTTGACGTCCCATAAGTTGGACCCCTGGGAGATGCAGGAAGCCTGGAAGTTGGTGGGCAGCTCTGATGGGGAAAGGACCGCGCCCTTCTGCTCCTGGCTACAGGAAATCCTGGGCATCCTGCGGTGTCGGGTCATAGCCTGGCTTCACAGCTGAAGAGTGTCTGGGGCCACAGGATAGACATGGGGAGCAGACATTCTCTCTCCCAGGCCCAAGACAGAGGCCCTAGCTGGCTGCAGCTTATCAGTTTCCTCATACCAGACCCTCAGTCTGCACCAAAGACAGGGATATAGGAAACACCTAGGGGCCTGGCCTGCCAGCCCCAAAGATGGTCAGAAAAACAGTGCTGGGGTTGTTCTCTCCAGCCGGGGCAGGAGGGGGGCATAACCCCCTCAATAAACTTGTCTCTCCACCTCTTCGAGTGCAGCGTGATCTTCACCAGGACTGCCAGAACACAAACCTAGAGAACCAAGAGGCTGCCAGATGGGAAGGAGATTTCTAGGGACATGAGGAAGAGGACAGCCTCTCTGAGGAGGAATGTCCCTAAAAGGCAAGGCTAAGGCCACAGCAACCACAGCAGGGATAGTAGCAGAGCAAAATTACCTTTGTGATCCTAGAATAGCCCCATGCTGGGCAAGAGGGAGGGGAACTGGTCCACAGGATGATTCAACACATTATCCAAAAAGATCTCTTTCCTCTTTAATACCAACCCACCCTGTCCACTCTGAGTTAGGGAAGGGAGCGCACTGCCCCCTCCCAGTTCCAGGGAAGTCATTTCCCTACTGGCGATCTTGGGGAGAGATTGTTTGAGGTCACCCTGGAGCCTGGCTCAGCGCACAAATCTGTCCAGGGCAGATGGTCGGGCCCTCATGGGCTTGGCCTTCTCTTGCTTATGCTGCTGCTGCTGCTGCTGCTCCTGCTGCTGTTGCTGTTGCTCAAGGCTCTGCCGGACCTTGTCCTGGGGGAAAGGGAGAAGGGACACGGGGCAAGGTGGGTGGCAGGCTTGCAAGGCCAGAGGCACAAGCAGGAGGTTGCAGCTTGCCGTAGGCCTGGCCTACCCCACCAATGCTCATTTACCCTGTGCTCTTTGTCCATGACCTTCCTCTTCCTCTTCACCAGGCTTGCTGTGGAGCTGCGGCCCTTTTGCTTTGGCTTTGGCTGGAAGGGAGTCTTAGCCTCGGGGTCATAGCCCTGAGAGAGGGGACAGGAATGAAATCCGTTACAGCCTCAGAGTCAGGGAACTGGCCATACCCACCTGCTGTGCTGTGCTTTTGGGGATAAGCCCATGGTGGGGAGAGGATGTAGAGTGAGGAAGGGCCTGGGCTCTGGGGGACCTACTCCATACCAGTCTCTCGATCCGCTCCTTCTTTTTCTGCTCCAAAGAAATGACATCCACCTCCGCCAGGGCTCGTGGGTCCAGACAAATAAGCTCTGCAGGTACCTGGGGATATCAGGATCAAGAAAGGATTTGGAGCTATGGGAGGGTGGCACCAAAGAGACAGAAGCCAAGGAGGCTGTTCTTCCCAAGACCTCTAGCATATGAGCTCTAGGGAGCTTTCCCCAACCTCAGCCCCAAACCACATGCAGATCCCTTCTCCAGCAGCGAAAGCCTCACCTTTTCCAGCAGAGCCTTCACCTCCCATTCCTGCCGCTGCTTCCGGCTCCTGTATGGGTTACTCTCTAGGCCATCAAAGTTGGGTTCGGCAGACCCTGGAGGGAGAGAGAAGCATGGAGCCACAAGAAGCCAGTCTACCCAAGCCCCTGCCCCTGGTTGTCTCAGGCCCCTCCAAACTCCCACCTAGAGCCCATTCACTTGGAGCCCATCACCTGATCCACTCACCAGGGACCAGCATGCTGGTGATGCCCCCGCTGTGACCCAATCCCAGCACATCCTCAAAGGGGCAGAACTGAAGGCCATGCACAGGGCCTGAGAGGCGGTGGGTGAGGTAGGGCTGCTCAAGGGAGGGTAGGCTGGCCTTGCCGTGCCCTGCCCAGATGTTAACGACGTCACCCATTCCTGCAGCCAGCAGTCCCCGCTGGGAGAAAGCCAGATGCCCCGCTCCCTGGGGCAGGGTCCGAGCTCTCAGAGGCTGGTATGTCCCTCGCAAGTCAAAAATCTTCAGCTGGTGATCCAGACCGGAGGTGGCCATGTACCTGGGGGGGGGGGGGGGAAGGGGGACTGATTAACCTGTCAGTAAATGAGTTTACTAAGCAGCCTTGTTCATGGCCAAGTCCAAGCATCCAGTATGCTTGGGGAGAAAAGACTAATAATAACCCCTACCATCACACTAAACATCCCTCTCAGATAAGCTTCATGTAACTCTGTACTATTTTTATTTATCTTTTACAGGAAGGAAATTGAAGCTCAGAGAAAAGAAATCTGGGTTAGCAAATGTTCAGACTAGGATTCAAGTCAGACCTGTCTCTTTAGTATCTGCTTCTTGCTTCTTACCTACTAATGCCACATTTCCCTCTTAAGACATATGAGTCCAAGGGAGAGCACAAGCCAGACCTGGTGGCTCACACCTATAATCCCAACACTTTGGGAGGCCGAGGTGGAAGAATTGCTTGAATCAAGGAGTTGGAGACCAGCCTGGGCAATATAGCAAGACCTCATCACCACAAAAAAAATTTAAAAATTACCCAGCCATGGTAGCATGCACCTGTAGTCCTAGCTACTTGGAAGGCTGAGACAGAAGGATTGCCTGAGCCCAGGAGGTTGAGGCTGCAGTGAGCCAAGATTGTGCCACTGCACTCCAGCCTAGGCAACAGAGACTCAAAACAGGGAAAATACACAAAACAGGCTGTACCTAAATATGATATTCCCCTCAAAGACCAGCAGCAAAGAGCTCAGTGAGGGAGCGAGCATCTGCAGTGGTCACGAAAGGCTTCATGGGAAAGGTGGGACTGGAGTCATTTTAGATAATTTCCAAGAAAGCACAAGAAATAGAGACATAGCAGGTACAAACGCATTAATACCAGCGTGTAGAGACAGTGAAATGGAAGCAGAGTTGCTTTCAAGACTGGTGGGAAACACGGTCAGGAAAATCAGGAGGGGACAAACTGTAGGGTTTATTTTATGTCACATGGTAATGTGTGGACGTTATAACAGGGTTGGAGGGAAGAATGTCTCACCCATGCATATGAAAATCCAATCACCATGCTTATGAACTACAAAAGGACCATTTAGGCTTTCTTTAAAGTCAGACTGAGCTGGGCTCGGTGGCTCAGCCTGTAATCCCGCGCCTTTGGGAGGCTGAGGTGAGTGGATTGCCTGATCCCGCGGGTTCGAGACCCACCTGGGCAGCGAGACCTCATCTCTACAATAAATTTTTAAAAATCAGCCAGGCGTGGTAGCGCATGCCTGTAATTCCGGCTACTTGGAAGGCTGAGGCGGAAGGATCACCGGAGCCCAGCAGTTCAAGGCTGCAGTGGCCGGGAGCGACTCCAGTCTGGATGACAGAGTGAGACTCCAACTCAAAAATAAATAAATAAATAAAAATAAAGTCAGACTGAGGACCAAACATTGTTCTCTGGCAATGACAAATCATAAGCTAAAGACTGCATGGACTAAAGAAAATCGTAGGAAGTCATGAAGTCATATGCTAGAGGGCCTGGCCCCGCCCTCTAAGCCTTCCCTGGAAGGAGGGAGGGTTGGTGACAAAATCCCCTCAAGGAATCATGTGCTGCCTAAGTTGTTTACAATCAGAGGTTGAAGTTTCTGTCTATGTTCCAGCTTTTCCTCAGAGAAGGAGGCTGAAGGGGGACCAGCCAAGCAGGGGATGTATGTTTGCCAAGGGGCCAACGATTCTATTTTTTGCATTGGCTATGAACCCAGGTGGCGGGAACTGAAGAGTCTCAGTGATGGCGCCCAACAGAGGCCCAGGTGGATCCTTTTGACAAGATAATCAGGGCCTCAACTCCACCCAAGCGAAGGGTCATCAGTGCAAAGCAGGAATTACCGAGAGCTCCTGAGATGCAGTGCCACACCCTTTGGTGAGCCAACAACTCAGGGGCACATGCTGGCTCCTCTCCCCAACACAACCATCCATGAGATTCCCTGGGTTAAATGCCAGTCTTGTGGAGAGGAGTCCAGGCTACACTATTATACTACTAAACTTGCAAGCAGTTGAGCTTTGAGAAGCCAATCTAATCCAATCCTAACTCAACTTCCAAAAAGCCTCTTGAGGAAGATGGTCAGCTTTATCTCTGGAGTCCCTGTAGCCTTTCTGAAAAGTTCCTCAGAAGGACTAGAGAAAAGTGGATGGGCCTAAGATTAAGGCTTAGAGCTGTTCAACATCAAGGTGATAACTAGCCAGGTGTGGTGGCTCATGCCTGGCTCTCAGCAATTTGGGAGGTGGAGGCAAGAGGATTGGCTGAACTTAGGAGTTCGAGACCAGCCTGGGCAACTTGGTGAAACCTCATCTCTACAATAAATCAAAAAATTATCCGGGCATAGTGGTGCGTATCAGTAGTTCCAGCTACTTGGAAGAATGAGGCAGAAGGATGCCTGAACCCAGCAGGTCAAAGCTGTGATGGCCGGGAGCATGCCAGTGCCCTCCAGCCTGGGTGACAGAGTGAGTGAGTGAGACTACAAGACTCCAACTCAAAAAAAAAAAAAAAAAAGAAGAAGAGAAACAGCCCTGGGAGAGATCCCTGAGGAAAAACTGTCAGAACTTCATAGTGGTCTGAGTAGTATGAAGAGATGCCACCAAAGCAAGTATCAGAGCATGGGGACTCAGAGAGCACTCAGTAAGCAGTGCTTCCAGTTCCTGTTATTCCTGAAGGCTGAAGAACATGGGCACTGTGCAGCTAGCTAGAAAAGCCAAAGAAGTCAAATTCTGGGTGACAGGAAAATTCTGGGAGAATGGGAGCAGGCAAGGAGAAATGTTAGGAGTGAGGTGACCTACTCAGTGATGGACATACTGAGTCTGAGATGGCAGAAGACAACTGAGTAGAAACTAAATGCATCGGCTGGCTGATCATTCCCACAAATCACCTAAAGTGTAATTGGAACACCACACCTGGGCTGGCTCAATGATTCCTCCTTATGTCCCCAGAACCTTAGCATGAAGCCCAGCCTGCAGTAGGTATCCAGTGAATGCCAGATGAAAGGAATCAAAGGAAAATACAAGTCAGACAGAACAGCTGTGGAAAACACAGATCCTCCCTCAGGAACACCAGAAATCCAAAGCAGACACACGGCCCCCACCCCTTACATCACCAACCAGATCTGGAAAGAAGGATCATCTTTTTTTTTTTTTTTTTTGAGTTGGAGTCTCACTCGGTCGCCTAGACTGGAGTGCAGTGGCCGCTCCCGGCCACCGCAGCCTCGCCTGCTGGACTCCGGCGATCCTTCCGCCTCAGCCTTCCGTGTAGCTGGAATTACAGGCATGCGCTACCATGCCCGGCTGATTTTTTGATTTATTGTAGAGATGAGGTCTTGCTGCCCAGGTGGGTCT